TCTTGAACACCATCTCATTAACTTGAACTAGTCTTTTCCATTTATGTGTACTTTTCTCCTATCTAACGTCGAATGCGCTGTTGCTCATTGAATTATTCTAAAAAGATTGAGATAGAATATTTGCACATTGCACACTAGATTTAATTCATGTGCCTTTATGAATAGAAAAATGAGATGCAGATGTGAGTTGTGGTTGAAGAAATGTTTGATTATGTCTCATAGAAAGATCAAAATGAACATATATATGCAGATTATTCAGAACCACCATTTTTTGAGATCCGATCTCGTTCCACCAGAAAACAAATATCAGATTTGGAATCTGCATGCAAAAAGGAATCAGAATATGTATGCTGTTTTTCTCTAAACTGCCCCCAAAAAAATCAGCCTGATTTGCTATGCTACTCTATATGCCTCGTTTTCGCTTTCTGAGATTCAATAAATGATATTAAAATCTAAAAAATTTAACTTTTGAAAATTGAGATCTTGTAGTTAGGTGTTTTTATACATAATCATCAATCGAGATCTAGCATGAAATTTTTTCGTGCTAATGTTTTGATATCCTTTGTATAAGCAGTTTCTTCTTTTCTTTGACTTTTGTATTTATTTATCAACGGTATGATGAGATGTCCGTTGTTCTTTTAGTCCTTTATGTAATTCTGTATTTTTGGGTATGTAAGTAATTTTAAAACGTAATTCGATTTAAAAGTTTAAATAAAAAGAGGGAAGAAGGAAAAAAAAAACCCTCTTCCTTTGTCTGCATTCGTATGGAACACACACGCACAAAAAAAATAACAAAGCACAACAAAAAGATGTAATGGACAATTTAAGAATTTTTCATTACAAAAAAGTGAAATCTGATCATATTGAATTCTGTTTATCGAGAACAAAGGACAGAATATGTACACGACTGATGTGAGAAAAGTAAGAGATGACGAAAAAAGAAAATAGAAACGAAATCTCTTATAGAACATTGAACGTTCTATAACAAGTTCTTTTTATACTAGAAATATTTCTAACAATAAACACAGATATCTGCATCACTACAGATATTTTTCATTTGTTTGGTATATCTTATAAAATATAATGGTCAGACTATTCTTCTAACTTGAATGTTGAAGGATTTTTCTTTTCATCGATGTGCTATGCAATTAATAATAATTACATATATTTTGTTGTTTGCAACAAAATAGAGTAATAGTTTTCACACGAGGGAATTCGTATCGATCATGTAAAAAGCAGAAATGACAACCTTGCACTAATGATAACCTGTTTCTCTTCTTTTCTAAAGAGAGAAAAAGAATATTAGAATCGATGAATATTATACAAACAAGTTAATTGAGCATTTATGATGCCTACAAGAACTGAACATCGTTTTGGACATGAAGTTATTGATGATATTGTGGATAAACCAACAAATCTATTTACATCACATTCAACATCATCATTTGATTATAATAATATAAATAATAATCCATTATCAAAAACATTATCAAATGCATTGAATAGTTCATCTAATCAACGAACTTATTCTAGTTTTACAAATATACCATCATTATATAAATCAGAGACAAATTTTTTACCATCTTCAACTACTGATCGTTTACATTTAACATTGCCTCGTTCAAATTCTTCAACAACGGCAAATATTCATCAACAATCTCTATCAAATGATGAAAGACAAAAAGAATTAAAAATGGTATTAAAAAATTTATATTCTAAAACAAATATAAACAATGATGAACAACAACAACAACAACAGCAACAACAACAGTTCAACGAAAATTTAGATTCACATTATTTTATGAAAAATACAAATCAAGATCAAATGTTAACAACTACCAATTGGACATCAGCATTTACAAATATGAACAATGGAGAAGATAAATTGAGTAATATTAATGAGGTAACCATATAGAATGTATAGTTTATAATTGAAATATGAATATTTTCATTTTTTTCGTTTTTCTTCTTCTATTCTTCTATTGATAAGGTTATAACATTAGACGATTTAAATGAACATAGTTCATCGAATGGGAATTTATTACAACGTGAATTAAAGGAAAAAGAACTTGACATTGTTCATTTACAAAAAGAATTACAAGAAGTACAATTAGAAAATAAATTAATTAAAGCTAAAGTATCTGGTGTTTTTTATCAAAATGGAACGAATAAAATAGATGATAGTGTATGTATTAGAATAGATATTTTTATGTTAATTTTAAAAATAACTATATCTATTATATATTTAGAATAATCCAGAAAATGAAATATTACGACGTGAAAAAGATGTATTAGAAAATGAATTAAAAAAATCTCATGAATTAATTGCAAAATTACAACAATCACCAATTCAAAAAGCACAAGTTTATTCAAAAATTGATGAAATAACATTACATCAGAAAGAAACATTAGAAAAAAAATTAAGTATGTTAATATAATAAAAATAATTAAGATAATATTTTTGAACAACAAATGTAATCAATTTTAGGATTATATGAAAAACAGCTAACAGTTTTAACACAAGAAAATGAAAAGTATAATCAACATTTTCATCAAACTGATCGAGCAATTCAACAATTGAAACGAGAAAATGAAGAATTACAACAAAAAGTAATGATTATTTTAAGAAAATTTTTTTAAAAAGATATTTTTATCAAGAAATAAACTTTTTTTAACTAGAAAATATTCAAAAAATTATCAACATTATTATTGTCCTATAACAATCCTTGTTTCTCCTTTTCTTCTCATCATCGACAGGTCAAATTAAAATTTTTTATTTTATTATGAGCACCAATATATCTAGGTTGCATGTTCAGATCTCGATCATCATGTCTAACTCGCATGTTTCTTTATACTACACAATAATTTCAGTCAATTAGACGCTGATATTAGCTCAGTTGTATCAGAGACACTGAAAACATTTTATATGTATGTTATTTAGACAATGGTATCTGTCACTGCACTTCAAGAAATATTTAAAATAAAGAACGTCATCATCATTATTCTATTTTTTCTTCTCTAGGTAACAGAAACTAAAAAACGAAATGAAGAAATGTTATATCAAGAATTCAATGTATTAAGATCGGATTTAAAGTATGAATTATTTCAAAATAAAATATATGTAAATTAAATATATAACATGAGTATGTTTACATTTAGACTATTAAAACAACGTAATGATGAATTATTTGAAGAAAATCGTCGATTACAACAAGAACAACGAAATGTAAATTATCGTACAACGTATAGATCACCATCACCATCTCCCTATACCAATGGAAATATGACTAATTCACATGTTTATAATCAAGAATCAACATCTGATAATATTCCACCACTACCTCCAAATTATTCATCTTCAAAACCTCCTCCATCATCTACTACACGACGATTATCATCGAACGATCGACGAAAAGATGGAAATGGAATTGAATCATCAACTTATCAATCAAAATGTAAATCTATTTAGAAATATTTATTTTATTTGTTTAATTTATTTTTATTCTTTTTTTTTAGCATCAAATCTTCGCAGTGATAGTCCAACATCGGAAGCAAGTGATTCAACTCAATATTTAACATCTGTTTCTGTTGAACGTTATACAAGACCTCAATCAAACCGTGTTCGAAATAATATTAATAATCGTGAACAAAAATACGATCAATTACCGTTATCAAGATATCCGAGTCGATTATCCACGGAGGAATTACAATCGGCAGATATGATCAACAACAAAAATAATGGCGGTAAACGTATTTTGAAGAAAAATCGTTCCGTAGAATGGAGTAATGTTCCAAATGATGATAATAACGGTGAAGGTATGATTCTTTTTCTTATTATCAATATTTTCAATTTTAATTGCATGCAACACTGTAAACCTTTACTTTAAGGTTTTATTATATGACTAATTTTTGACAATACATGCACATACAAGTAAACAATAACTTGTATTAATCTTGCAAAATATAAAATTTGTACGTTTATCTCGTAATCAAGCTCATTCTAATTGAACACAATTCTCAAGTCTAGATAAATTAAATATATTGAAAAGTTTTGCTCTAGTTATTTGAGTGCTAGCTATAAGCATGATTTATATATGAAAATCACATAGTTCTATTACCAGAAGCGACAGTACGTTATTGTTTTTGAACTTATCGTTTTTTTGTCTTATAACATTCGAATGAAAAACTGTCT